CCTTGGCCTTTCGTTCCGGCTGCCTGATGGATGCCCTCAGAGGTTTCTTCATGGTTCCCTGAGACTCCTTTGGCTCCAGTTGTATCTGGCCTACATCAAGTTGCATCGGAGATGTGTTCTCGTCTGAAACGAACATAGCAACCGCTTTGGTGGACTTTTTGGTCATTTTTTCTGAGGGATTCCCTGCAGGTGTAACTTCCTCTCGACCTGTAAAGGCATCTAACTGCGACTTCTTCCGAAGCCCTTTGAGCGCTGAAGGATCGGCCGGTGACTCAGTGTGCTTCCTCGATACTTTGAGGCGGGCTTCAGCTCTGGGTGGTACCGGTGGTTTTTCTTGCTCCTCGGGGATACGAGTTGTTTTCTTCGGGTGCTTATTTCGTGGACTCGGTGGTTCTACTTCGTCGGCAGGGGGGATGACCTCACGGGGTTTCCGATAAGTCGATGGACGCTGCGTAGTGTTGCCGTGCCATGTTTTGGCTCGAGCGTCTCTAGAATCATGTTCACCTTCGCGGTTGTCAGAAAGCAGTTACCCCAGCGAAAGGTCGAACTTACGCCACCCTTTTAGACCTTCCGTCCGCTGGGTGTATACTGGCTTCCACTTTGCCAAGATCTTGTTTGGCGTGTCAACAGTCGTGGGCGTTGGAACAGGAGGCGCTCGAATTGCAGGCACACCATCTGATTGGTCTCTGGTGTTCGGGAAGCAGGGAAGATTGCAACAATTGGATTTGTCCATTTTTGCCGGCACTTCATCGATAAAGGCAAGCTCCCAGGCATTCGGTTGAGTGAATGCAACCTGTGTCCCAGAACTCGAGGAATCGGTGGAGCTCGTCGAAAGGCTCCTCAAGCCATTAAGCTGAAGGCGGCCTGGTTCGCCTTTGTGTTGCGGCTCCTTGGTGTGACTTTCCGTCAACATTATGAGCTTATCAGCTGTTGCTGTAATCAGTTTTGGTTCCTTCACCGGAAAAGTCTTTGGCGGCGACCGTTGCCGCTGCTGTGCAGACGTTACCGCCAGACCGGCAGCCTGGAACTGGTCCTCATACGGAAGAAGTGCCGTTACTGTGTGAAGCGACACCACGGACTCTGGCGTCGGGGTAGAGACAGGCAGGTTTCCGGCAGCCTCTCTACGCTCGGCATAAATTTCTAGTTGTCTGGCGAAGCGATTTACTTCCCGGCGGCGACTTGACGTCCGGGAAGGCGGCTGTGGTGCTTCCAAAGATCGGTTCGATGCCCTTTTGGACGGTGATGCAAGAAGAGACACTTGACTCTGCTGCGAAAGACTACGGCGGACAGCTTCCTACAGCTGTGGATCAGCAACGCCGAATCTTTTCTCGTGGGAAGCCCCTGATTCGCGGCAGCGGAGAGAGTCAGCGGGACCCGACATAGTTATGAGAGGGAATCGTCGATGCTCGAATGGGCTTGAAGCGGAAGTCTGGCGGTGAGCCTGAGGACGAGTGGGTTTGGATCGGACCGGAGACCCTGAAGGATCAACAACGGGCCTTGTGTAAGCGTTCCGAGTCCTCACTGGTCGACTGGGCCCGGCAAAGTCGGGTTGTTGATGAGCCAAGGTGCCCCGTGGCTTCGGCGAGCTGGAAGCGGCCTTTGCAGTGCCTTTCGCTGCGACGTACCAGACAGGGGGCGTTCTTTGGATTGACCGTCTGTTTGGAGGTCGAGGATTTGGTGTTAGGGGCTGAAGAGCATCCGATGCCACGAGCCTGCGAAGTCTTCCTAGCTCTCGTTCGTGGGCGATGGAGGTGGCGGTAGAGATTGAAAAGGGTTGGTTCAGTCCCCTGGCAGGCACGGCTGTTGTCCGGGGACGAGGCACCTTGCCCGAAGGAAGCCTGACTTTGCCGACTCGCTTCGTGCAAAACACCTTGCGCTGCTGGCGACGGAGACTCTCCACGGACTGGCTTATTGGGTTGCGGAAGACGTCCTCTGCTGCTTTGTGGGCAAGGTGCGGTGCGGGATTAGGAACGGGTGGTGAGCAAGTTGAAATACAATTACAGTCCCGGAAGACTCTGTCGCAATCAAGCATTGTCCATGCTCGGTAGACTGAGAGTTATCAAAGTTGGATCCAAAGAAGAATTTGTAATGGTATCATGTGGTCTAGGTAACAGAGCGTGGCATAGGATTGACATGTGGTGATACAGAGGGGAAGCGTCGACGCTATCCCCTGCGCCTGGGCTTGGAAGACCGGCCTGGTATCCTTTCCGAAGAGGAGGCGACTTCCCAGAAGGGCGTGGACAAGGCCAGTGTCATGGCAACCACGGCGCGGTTTCCTCATCGGCTAACATCCTTGATGCTGGGTGAGGAGTACGTCTCGAGTTGGCGCCGACCCTTCCGCAGCAAGTGCTCTACGACGGAAAAGTCCCGCTTGTCGACGGTGATGTACCTGTCAAACTCGGTCCTGGCTATCGGTCAGTATGCTTTACTGCCTATAAACTGCAGCCGTGCACAAGCTTGCCTGGCAAACGTTCGAAAGTGAGGTTGCGCAGTCTCCATCGATATTAGCTCTCGCACGCAGGTTGCTAGACGGCTTGAGAAATCTCACCTCTGGCTTCTTGCGGATTTCCCGAATGCATTGTCTGTAGAGAGACAAAACCTCCCGTTGGAGACCAGAAAGTCCGCGTCTTGCTACTGCCATTTTCCGTGTCAACTCGGCGTGGATACTGCTGCGGGAGGCGGAGTCCTCTGGTGGTTCATCAGAGAATCGTAGCCGAGAAAGCTCGAGTCGTTGATGTCAGTCGCAGGAAAGAGCTCCGTCTCTCAGGTTGAGGAAAAGTGGAGCAGGACCGCGGTCAAACGAATGACTCAGCGACCATAGCTGTTGGAACTTGTGGGTAGCTGTCCCAAAAAGTGCACAGCGTGCCAAGCATGGCACAAGCAATGCCGATACCTTAGCCGGGGCTGCTGCCGATGATTTTAGTGATGCGCAATGCTCTCATGCGGCACATCTGCCACCGACCGACAATGGCCCGGGTTTAGCACCTGGGCACACCGCGCTGTCTGAAATGTGGGGTTGCGACAGCGTCTACGGCATGCTTCCCGATCTTCATCTCATCCCGTCACCCTCAACCGCTTCACATTGTTTGTAGAACATTGTGCTTTTTGTCTTATCTATATCACGCTTTCGCCTTCCACTAGTTTTACTTCCAATCGAGAAAATGGCTTCCTTCTCAGTGAGTTTGTCATGGTTCTCACCGCCCACCACACCCCACTGACGCCCGTGCTAGAGACTCGTCCGCTTCCTCGCCCGGGACGGCAAGACATACTACGGTGATGCGATCCTCCCCACCGGTGTCACTGACATCGCAAAGGCGAGACAAGCTCGCATTGTGACGGGCGACATCTTTGGAAGACACGACGTCACAGAAAACGTCGCCGACATCCGGCTGCTGCTGTCCCCTCTGGCTCCCGAGCATGTCAAGACAGTGCGATGCCTAGGTCTCAACTATGCGAACCACGCAAAGGAGGTCAGCCTGCGTCTTTGAGAACCTCGTCCCATCAGGTCGATGGCTAACTACTCGCAGTCAAACATGGCCATCCCCAAGTTTCCCGTCCTTTTCGTAAGTCCTTATCAGCTCGGGTGACGCGCCGCACCAGACTGACCCAGCCAGTACAAACCGGTAACTTCCCTCGCCGGACCGACCGACCCCATCCCCGTGCATCCGGTCGCGCAGACTGGTAGTACCCTGGACTACGAGTGTGAGCTGGTCATCATTATTGGGAAGGCTGCCGCCGATGTATCCGAGGATGAGGCCCTCAACTACATCCTCGGCTACGCCGTTGGCAACGACGTGTCGCACCGCGAGTGGCAGATCCAGCGTGGCGGAGGCCAATGGTCGCTGGGCAAAGGATTTGACGGCTGGGCGCCGTTCGGCCCTGGTATCGTGACCAACAAGATCGTTAAGGACCCACAGAACCTCAAGATCTTTACTAAAGTCAACGGGGAGACTGTTCAGGTGGGGGACATGCCGCAAACACGGATTATGAGATGGGCGCTGACGGTTGGCAGAACAACAACACCAAAGACATGATCTTTGGTATCAAGAAGACGATCTCGTTTCTTAGCCAGGGCACAACCCTGCTGCCAGGAGACGTCATCTTCACAGGAACGTAAGTATAACATTGATGACTACCAGTTAATGCCACTTGCTGACGGAAAACGCAGCCCCGAGGGCGTTGGCATGGGCCGCAAGCCCCAGTTGTGGCTGAAGGACGGGGACGTTGTCGAGGTTGGTCTTGAGAATGTTGGCTCGTGCATCAACAAGGTGGAGTTTAGCAAGTTGAAGTCAAAGATCTGAAGGCGTACCAGATTATGGTTGGAGTTGTTAACTTGACACATTGTAATTCTTTTTATTCTTTCTTGACCAACAGCAGTCAGGTGAATACTAACGACTCACCGAAGTTACAAAGCCAGGCTGATTTTGTGCCGCACATAACAGTGCCCAGAACCTGGGTACTGTGCAAGCTGGTCTCGTGGTACAAATGTGTGTTTAACTAACTTGTAGTCCTTGTTGTTTACTTCTGTCAGAGGTTGTGCCGAGTACAGGCTTACGTGGCCCAACTGAGAGTCGGTCACGCCACGCATTCAGGCTACAGTTAAGTCACATATATCTCCATACAAACCCACGTTGCTGGTTCATACCTACTCAGAAGAAGTATGATACGCAATTGCTCCGAACAGACTGGTTATGAAGTAGATGGCCGATGAGCCTTGTGCTGGCCGGCCTGATGTCTATCTAGCCAGTCAAATTCACACAATGCATAAAGGAAGCTCTCGATTATTACCGCACCAATCCAGGCATGTACTGTTCCATAGGTGGCGGCGTTGTTGGTCTGGTCGCGAATCTGGCCGACAAAAGCTCATACATAGCCTGCCAATACTCCCGAGCAGCTCAACCAGCCATGATCGAGGTGGAGGTTTCCAGGTGCCAAGTTATCTTGCCTTTCGTATTGCAATATGCAAGTGAACAAACTGATGGGCAAAAGTCCATCAAAAATGCAACCATCGGGACTCGAACCCGAGTCCCCAGCTATCTCATTGAATGGAAGGCTGGGATGATAACCCCTACACTATGGTTGCGTGTTTTCGCGGCTGGATGCCGGAGTTGATGTCATTGGCCAAGATGGTAGCACATATATACGATGTTTTAAAAGAGACCCGAAAATGCCGCACTCAAGCTGCTCGTAGCTCCGGTGGGGCAGGGCAGAACAGTGTCTCCATAAACCCATAAGAGCCTGGCCGACTCATGAAGCATGTGCGCATTGCACCGAAGCAGCATTTTTGTTGGCAACTTGGATGATCACTCTTCGGTCATGATCGGCCAGGAATATGGTCAGTACCACCAGATTCTCGTTGTAAGGAAGACAGAGAGGAGGGCTCCCCCACCCCCCGGGTAGTGAAGTCTTGCATCTCGCCGCCAACGTTTGAGTATTGCGAGTCGTAAGAATGGTTGTATCCTCCGCATCTTGAACGGAAATGTATGCGCAGTCAATGTAGAAATATACGATTAGAAAATGAATTTTAAGACGAAATTGGTCTATCTGGGTTGTCAGCGTCATCTTGACGCTCGCGCTCTCATGGAGTCGGTTGCGGGAGTCGGCCATGTAACCAGCAATTGCATGGCGCGGCAGAGGCTGATACATATTAGCATCAAAGGACCGTCAACGAATGGAAGACCATCGTGTCAATAAACAGATCCAGCAGGGCTCGTTTGGGACGCTCAGCTGCGGCTAAGGTTGTGTGACATCCGCCCTACGATCCCTTCGGTGACCAAGTGCAGCAGTTGGCAGGCTTGCACAGCCCACGCGCTAAATAGCCGACATGTCCAAACTCCGCCCCCAACAATCATTGCTGTTTCCAACCTCTAAACAAGACATCCGCACCACCAACCAAGACAGAGCTGGTGCCTCGTGCGTGGTGCAGTCTGCCTCGACCATTGGCTCAAACCAGTGGTTCACTCGTTCGACGCACCAAACATACACTAACGCCGTTTCGGGCTCTTGTCATGCTGTCAACAAGCCCCGCTATAGGCCAGCCGGGGCAGATTCAGCCCAGGGAGGAGGTGAGAGACTGCCTCGTCAAATGTCATGAGGCTCGGGAGAGCCGCCGTCGTTCCTGGGCTTCTTGGTCTACGACCCGATTGTTCCATGCAGGGTGTTCCGAGTATCTGGACTCGGTGGAAAGTCTATATTTCGCTCTCCCCGGCTTGTTGCAAGGTATCTGGCGAGATGGCTTCATATCCATAGCCTGGTCGCGTGGCCAGTCTCACTTCTCTCATCCCCTTGTATAACGGCAACCTGAGTGAATCATTTCAAGAAGAGGAAAGAAACAACATCGCTTTTTTTTTCGCATGTCTAATGCTACCACAATTACCGTCAAGATGGAGGCTGCATCGTCTGTGCCCTCTCGTCTGGATGACTACGTGGGGTTCTACGGTGACCCCTTTGTGACTTTGCGCGACTACGAGGACGAGGTCAAACCTCCAGAAATCAACAAGGAACGCAAAGAGAAAACTCCTACCGATGAACTCGAGCCTGAAACGGCCACGGCCGAGGCGGACGATGAGGTTGACTGGTCAAGGTATAATCCGCCAGCCGCCCTCAGAACGGCGCCCAACATCACCAACGTTGTGCTCCTTGAGGTCTTGCAGACTTCTATCGAGAAAATCCTAGCAAGAGTCGCGGAGGAAGATCAAGTGCGGCAGTTGGAGGAAGAAGCGAGGCAGCGGGAAGCGGAAGAAAACTTGGCCCAAGAAGCCAGCAACAAGAGAAACGAGCCATACCTCCCCATCATCATAACACCCAACCCTCCTGAGCCTCCAGAAAGTCATCCAGACGAAACCCAACAGAACATTAAACTCTTTCCAGAACTGGTGGGAAATGGCGACGGCCGATCGGCCACTGGACTCATTGTCTTTCCATTCCAGCCCAAGAAAAAGAGCCGGTTCGCCTTGGCCAGAATTTTGCAGAAGATTGGCGAAAAGGAGGCAACAAGGAAGCCTTTCAGGTTCGGTGGGAATTCGAGCAAGATGAGCATAGAAGGGCCGTCTGAAGAGAGTAGCAAACTCAGGAAAACAGCCACTGTGTAAGTCTCCTATGTTCAAAACGGGATCCTAAGACTAACAGTGAGCTCTAGCGAATGCGTATCGTGTTTCGACGACTTTAATCATAAAGAAATGGTCAAAGTCATCTGCCACAGCTACTGCCGCGACTGCTTCGAGCGACTCATTGCGACAGCGGTCCAGAACGAGCAGCAATGGCCGCCAAAGTGCTGCCTCAACGATATCCCTTTTCGTACAATTCTACGTTACGTCCCCAAGGACCTGGGTAAAACCTACAAAGACCGTGCCGCCGAGTGGAAGATCCCCGTCAGCGAGCGCATCTATTGCAACCAGTCAGACTGCGGCCTCTGGATTAGACCTGACCACGTGAACTCGGGTCTCTGCTTAGCGCGCTGCGCAAACGCACACTGGACCTGCACCATCTGCCGCGGCCCGCAGCACGACAACTCCGACTGCCCGCAGGACCGCGACCTGGCACTGACCAATGCTCTCGCCGAGGAGGAGGGCTGGCAGCACTGCTCACAGTGTCAGGCGCTGGTTGAGCACCGGGAGGCATGCCAGCACATGACTTGTCGGTGCGGGTATCAGTTCTGCTACGTCTGCAATCAGAGATGGAGAACATGTACCTGCACGATGGACCAGCTGAATGCTGTCAAGGCCGGGGCTGCAACGAGGCGGCAGGAGAGACTGCGGAGGGAAGCGGAGGCCGAGTCCGAGCTTCAAGACGCTATACGACAGATCGAGGAGTTTGAGCGTGAAGAAGCGCTAAAGGCTGAGCTGTTGAGGCAGGAGACGGAGAGACAGGAAGAGGAGCGCAGACAGCGCGAGCTGGAAGAGCGTGTACGCCTGGAGAGCCTCCGACGTCACGAGATCCGGGAACAGTACCAAGAATATCGGGGGATGCTCGATCAGGTCCACGACCTGCAAGAAGTTCTCGTACGATACCAGCACGACAAGGAGAAGGAGCTCGCGTTACACGAGGCGTCAACCTCCACAGCCGAGCTCGAGGCAAAGCAGCAAGCAGAGCATCTTGAGCTTGCCGAGACGGCCTCGCGGAAGCTGGCAGCAAAGGAACAGGCCCTTGCAGCCGAGTACAGCTTCCGTGTGCTGGAGGAGAAGAAGACGGAGGACGCCTACCTGCGACTTCTGGAAACATTCTTTGCCGACAAGCCGACGGGAGAAGCACGCGTTGAAGAACTCATGCGGGATTTCCGGAAGAAGATGGACAAGGGGTGGCGGGCGTGGGGAAGATGGAGAAACGAGGAGGCAGCGAGGTGTAAGATCAAGGTAGAAGAGGAGCGGATAATTCGCGAGGAGGTCATGTACAGCGTGAAGATGCGGCATAAAGAACGTATAGAGAATGGGCGAAGGGAGCTTGGGAGGAGGCAGGCGGCTGAGTTGAGGTGGGTGACATTAGTTGTTGCGGAGAGGGCGCGGATGTTGGCTCAGATGGAGACTGCGGAGATAGAAGACGGAGCTGATAGCTTTAGTGTAAGTGGAAGCGAGGAAGAGGAGGTGGATGAGGTTGCGTCCGGTTCGAGTTGACGGTGGACCGGCGGCCTGGTCTATCTAGTCTTGGCCGTCGTTGTCATGATTGTCAGATCCTGGCTTGAGGGCTAGGTTTTGGTCACAGACTGCGAGCATGATCAAGCTACAGCCAACTCTTTTGTGTAAACGTTACAAAAAAAACCCCTTCATAATAGCCAATGTGTGGGTGATAGAAGTCTCTTGTCGACGTCGCCGTCTTCCAAGTCTCTTTCTCTGTTGGATCTTTCACGTTAACTCCGGATAGGGAGTTCTGATTCAAGAAGCCAGGCACTGACTGGATTTCACCACCCTCATTTGCTGGCGTGTACGAACCAATCTCTTGATGTACTAATAAATAATGGGACGCCGGATGTATCGCAACAACAAACCTGGCTCAGGGTCATTGCTGCACAACAGTCCCCATGCTAGTTACCAAACAAAACAATCCACGCAGACTCTGACGGCGACGGAAACACACGAAAGAAGACTCAAAAAACAATGTATAGCCGATGGAGTTGCAGGACTTTCAACACAGTGGGTTTCAGGGACACCCACCTCTTGTGGGTGATGGTAATGGTACTGTTTCTTTCGAGCCTTTTCGGCGTGAAAGGGGTGTCGTGGCAGAAACGGCCTGGGCCTTCCATTTTATTCTCACTACACTTCAAAGCTTTTAACATGGAAGATACCAGTCTAGTAATTTGCGCGTTCTTCAGATGGCATGAAAGTTGCTGGCAGTTACTCTCTTCGAAAATGAGCTCTTTTGTCCTCGGCGTGGCCACGACAAGTCAAGAAAACGGTGCGACTGCCTGTTTGAGGACCCAGTAGCAACTGCACTGAGTTATACTCCAAAGCACCATGACATAGATGGTCACGACGAGGTGCGTCGGCCATAGGTAGCGTCAACAAACATGTCAACTCGACAACCGTATGTTATGTTCACCTCGCTGCCCGGTCACACCCTTTTTCCAAACAACTTTCAGAGCTCATGCTTCTGGAACCTACTCGAGGTGTTTGTGGACAACCGTCTGAATATCTCATCCTTCTACCTCCACTACACATACCTACCACTACTGCTTTCAGGAGTATTTGACAAATCTCTTCTGGGAGATATCAACTCTATAGGGGCAGAAACATCGAGATTCGCCATCGTTCTCAAGCTAACCGCCAAACTTCCACCTCTACAGCTTCTCGAAAATCGTTCACAATGATCGGACAGCGTACCGTCAGCCAGCAAGTTCAGGCGCGCCACGGTCGCCGGATAGACCAACACGAGGTCGAAGACTACAAATTCCTACTGGATGTGTGCTACTGGTTCGACTTCGCTCTCGTAATTACGACTCTTCATATTATGTTCTTCGTCGCTTTTGCCGTCATGGCACCTCCCGAAGGCCGTGGTCTCGAGGATTGGCTCAGTCTCGTTCGCGGATTCCGAGTTATGGCCGTCATATTCTACGAATTACCGTTTGTCTTTAGAAAGACCCAGTGGATTTCC